ATTGATGGTCACCAGTCTGGTCAACGTACATTCATGGTGTTTGACAGATGGCTCGCTCTGCTGGTCGCGCTGTTGATGTCAAGGCGGTTGTTGTTTGACAGGAAATCATAACATTCAGGTGGTTGGATTCTGTAAAAATGTAATGGACATCTAGGCGATGTACCTTGTTGTCTGAAAAGCGGGCACAAGCCCAGATTTCACAGTTTTTGTGTGGAAAGCTCTACCCAATGCAGCCCGTATCGGAGCCACAGATGACTTTATGAGGTTATGTTGGCCGGCGTGATATTTTCCTGGTTACGTTGGACTCAGTGGGTTTGGGTTGTGTAGCCTCTCGGGTCAGGGTGCTGTAGACCGACTTTCTCGGCGTTTTCTTGTGCACTGGTGTCGTTCATCCTCCTCTGCCGTAGACTAGTCGTGTCGGGAGGTTTTCGTGCAACTTCATCAAATTTTAGCCACTTGCTGGATGTTGAACTAGCTTCAGTATTGCAAAAAAAACTGGTATGCACGTCCATTCCCGAGTAAGTGTCAGTGCGCACTAGCCCCAGTCAAGAATTAGCCACTGGGATGCATTGAGGAAACTTCAATTACGGCAGCTGCCGTCGCTATCTCGTCGGTTAGTCCTAATCTGTGAAACACAGTTTTTTGTGTGTACAGACGAATTAGGGCCAGATCTTGTTTGTGGCTCACGCCCACGTAAACTCCCCCTCTCTTCCTTTGTGCCAGTGTCGGCCAGTGTGCTTGGCATACCTTGGACTTCATCATTGTGTTTAGGCACGCCTCTTTCCAGTTGCCAATGCCGGTCAAATTATGTCCGAAAGAAGATGGTGGTATGCGTTAGGGCGAAAAAGTTGCTAATGCAGCCCTGTTCAGCAGGTCACATCCAGGTTCTTCTGTCTTTGAAGAGTGAGAGTTGTGAATTTAACACTCGATAGACGGCGGTCCAATACTACTAAGGATGCTTTTCTATCATCATTAGTTAGCCGGTCCTTTATATCCTGATCACATCCTCTTCGTGTACCCCTTTTTACTGCCTACTGGCACACTAGGCCGTCACAGCTTAAGTAGTCTGATGGCCTAGGTCACACACATTTCCATCGCCTTTTTTCGCAGGCCGCTTATCGTGTGATTTTGGTAGTAACTGTATTTATCACAATAATAATTTTCACGCAACTTTCCGTATTCGTCATGTTTACTTTAGGTGATCTTCGTCGAAAGTTCCAGTCCTACCAGTTTCGCTTCCGGTACAATGTTGACACGAATGTGGACGTGCGATCACTGATTCTCCAGCTGGACGATCCAATCCGCAGCGCGTTAGAGGCCCTCACCTTGAACGCCAAGAAGATTGGCCTCTTTGAAGACACAACTGATAACGAGGGTGGCAGTACTCACGCCTCGCCGGCAGTTCACCATGATCCAGATGACACCGGTACATCCTTGCGTTCAGCCTGTTTTCTTGTTTCTACTGCGTTTGCCCCGAATGTCAGCATTATTTACTAGCGATTAAGTTTCTCTTTTTAATCACGCTACTCCGTGTTGTTTTACGAGTCACAATCCCAACGGAATCCTTATTTTCTGTAGCACAGCTACTGTTGGTTTGGTAATAGTGCCCCCTAAACAGTAACTGGGGGACACCAACCGTCTGCAATGCTGATGTCTTTTCGGCAAATCCCAGGAAATGTGCGAAACAATTAGGGTTAGGGGCTAGGGATGGTGTTAGATTTATGACACTGAAATAGAGAAGACGCAGATGTGGTCGATGGTACAGGACTTTTATTCGCCTGACGTTTCGAAATCCATCGCAGATCCTTCATCAGAGACCATAACAGAAGCGGGTACTTCATGCGCAGGGAGGAGCAGTGTTTATAGGATACAGCCACTATGCTACTACACACTTGTGACAATTAACGGCTCCCCCCTATCGAGGATATTTGATCGCTTGGATGTTAATTGCTTGATGGCTGGCGTGGGGGGCCGTAACCTGCTGAACTTTCATTGCACGTGATGGGATTGGACGTGATGATTGCTCGGCCGTCTGGTTGCCCGGCGCTAGCGTTAGACAACGTGCTTTCCCGAAATTGTGACGTGCTTCGGCTAAATTGAGTCTCAGCACCGAATGGAGATTGGGCAGGTCGTTGCACCCGTTTATAGACAGGGGGCCCGCGAACCATGACCAAGGTAGCATAGTGACTGTATCCTCTAAAAAGTAAAACTCCCTGTGCATGAATTACCCGTTTCTGCTGCTATCTGTGATGATAGGTCCGCGACGGATTTTGAAAGGCCAGGCGAATAAAATTCTTGTCCCGGCGGTCACATCTACTTTTTC